ATTTTACTGTTTCCATTTCAGACGTTTCGTACATTTATACTTTTGATTGACAAATTGATCAAGTTACTACCAGAAACCTCCAGAATATAGATCATATAAAATTAAAAAATAAAATTCTTTTTTACTAAAAACTAGTTGTCACTTTTCTTTATACATGTTGTATACTCAACTTATCAGTTCAATGAATAACTCTATGCGACGCAGGTAAATATACTTTATTCCCAGTATATAGATAATGTGCAGTTGAACAGAAGCTGTCTGATGAAAAGTAAATGAGTTTTGACCATTTTTGATTGGCTAAATGCAGCGATGGCACTCTTTTGTTGCCATCAATGAACAAATCATACCTAGGTTTTCTAGGCATTCCTCTATTTTCCAAGGTCGAACGGCGACTTCTTTTAAAGAGCCATTCCTTTGATGCTGTTGGGTTCATCATGATAGCCGCTCCAATACTTAGTGTGCTCGTGGTTGCAATCTGGGTGACAATATCGAAGTAGATTACTAACACTGCAGTTGACGGTTCGGAGAGTCTACTTGCATTCCACACGCTTTCGCAGACTCCTATTACTTCTGTGCCATACTTTCTATCTCTTTTGCAATCTGCGCAGCATTGAGAGGTTCATACATGGTGCGGACATTCCATGTCCCCATTCTTAATTTCCCTTTCATCGAGAGAGAGAAGACACACCGGTCAATTAGCTTCCCGAAGGCTTTCATCAACCGGCGTCATTTCACCGATCCGATTCCAGTGAGGAACAAGTTTATTCGGATTTTCGATATTTTTTGTGTTTTGAAGTTCCTTGAGTGATTGGATTTGTTTTCCAGTGTAGGTTTGTTAGCCCTACGCCCAACCTTCTCTCTTTTCCAGGACTACGAGTCAACTAGTTACCTAGTAAATAAGAATAATGATTCATCTTATGATATGGTATGGATCAGTGATTCGAAAAGAAGTAACTAACCTTTGACCCCAGAACTTCAACACAATTTAGCCGCTTGGCAACACGTTTAGCAATTCTCTTCTTCAAAAACTCAACCCAACCTTCTTCGTACTGCCGGTATTTGCCAACCTTTTTTCGCTTCGGTACTAAATAAACTCTACCAATTTTACCAAATTGTTGCATAATATCGGAGATCATGCTAACATTCATTCCAGTCGGTATAGTTGACAGATATATAATACCTGGAACATCAGACTCAACTATATCCTCTTCCATCTTGACATTCGATTCACTAACAAAAAAAGAGGATGAGAAGCTGGTTAGTTGTGAAATGAATAGAAAATACTTATGGATGAACAATTGAATAGATAACAAAATTCCCACATATATGAAACAGTTCAAACCCAAACGTTACTTCATCATAGTAATGAGATTGAACTGTGTATATATACATAAACGATGATCTCGGTGATTGTGGTGGACTGAGTAATGCAACAAACAGTGAGGAGTGGAGATATGCAACCACCATCACCACCAAGAACAACAACAACGGGCACCAATCACCATGAACAGGAGGAATCTAAAGGAAGTAGTCTCTTTCATCCACTTAGGCAGCATCGTTTCAACCACAGGAGGCACAGGCACAGATGAGGATGTCAAAGCCAGCCACGATCGGAAAGACAGCAAGAGAGGCCTTCCTGCACTAATCTGAAGTCAGTGTGGAGGTCTGCTGAACTGCACTCAGCATGAAGCGTGAACAAGATAGGGATTTTCAATACCAGTGTCAGTCAAGTCAGTGCTTCTATGTGATGGTTGAGAGACATGGCGCGTTATGTAAAGCGTTTCCGACAAACTACAGACATACATGAACAGCTGCCACCTACACTCACTCGATACTGAAGATGATCAGATGGTTAGGATGAATAAGTGGGGAGGAACTCTGGCTGGCTGGCTGTGCGACGAACCAACCAAGAACCCATCGCCCAACAAATATGCAGAAGGCAGTGGAGCTGGATTGGATTGGACACAGTAAGTAGACCATTCGAGGACATCATGCTCCAGGCCAGGCCAAAAAGTGGAACCCAAATGGGAAACGACGAGTTGTGCGTCCCAGCTGAGGGTGACATGGAGGTGATGGTATAAGGAAGAAATAAAAGCTTATGGACAGTCGCGGAGGAAGGTTGAAATGACTGGAGAGAAGATAATGAAATGGAGACGTGCTACTGATGCCCTCTGTTTCACTAGGAACGCAGAGGACAGATAGTAATAACGATGTTCTCTTATCTTTCAAGCAGCTTTAGAGCAAACCAGAGATTGAGCACATCGGAGTAATTTTGACCAGTTTTTAACGGTATCATAAACAGTCCTCAACCACTGATTCTTTTCCTGTCAGTGAATACAACCAGATAATCCACACCTCCACAAATAACTCTGAGTAACTTCGAGAGACTTTACGCATTGCAACTAAATCTTGGTCTGGCCTACCGTGAATCTTCTTTCAAGTTAATACTACTTCCTGTAGCATACTATGTCGAGGAAGTCGGTGGCTAGATATGAGTAATACATGCTCAAACCACCCCAAAGAAGTGAGGTAGTCGATGCATGCCATCACTTCACTTCATATCCTTAAAATAAATGTAGTTGTAGACGTCTTGGAACATCATCTTACATTTCACAGGCGCAGAACATGTGACATTTAAATATACTTAAATTCCTGCTGGAACGTGTCCAGAAGACCCTGCATTTTGTTATGGTTTTCACTGAACAGGACATTGGCGTCTGCGTACTCCAAATCAACAAGATATCCTCCAGGGAGTAGATCAATCCCTGTGAAGTTAGAAGTGCCTAATGTTATGTTCCTCAATACATTTACAACGAAATTAAATAAGAACGGTAATAGTGAGTATCCCTAGCGGACAGTACTAGTTGTCTCCAGTTCATTTGACAACTGCAACTGATGCACTTGTCTGCCTATCACAACATATCACGGTCAACAGAGTTGAATGCTGACTTCAGGTCAAAATATGTGGCAGTGATCGACAACTGAATACTTGTATATATCTTAAAAGTTAAAAGACAGAAAAGAAAAGAAAAATAATAAACAATGTTGAAGTCAGTCGAAGGATACTGGACAAGACAGGCAAGTCGATTGATAATGTTGTGAACTTTCATCAACTGAGGTGGCTAGGACATATGTTGGTCATTCCAAGCTACCGCCTACCTTGATGTACCATGCTGAATGGAGTTGTATAAGGTTGGGGAAAGAGAGTTCAGGGTGACCAGATCAAGACGAAGTAGCAGTCCATAAAGTTCTAACTGTTGATGTGAGTCGTGTGGCGAGATATGGACTAAATGGTTGAGGTTCGCGAAGCAATAGGATTCTTGGTGATACCTCTGAAAGTCGGTTTCAGTAGCACAGATGAACTCAATCTTTAACGTTTTCAAAAGCTTATATATTTACACCAAACCTTTATCGTCAAATTGCTTATTCTCTCATAGAAATATTTTCTATCTCCTTGTTTTTCGTATACTACTATAAAGTGTAACAACTTAAACCAATTCCTTTGTTTCAGAGGTTCCATTCTGTTTATGTCTTTCTGACAACTAACGGTCTTCGATCGCTGATTCCTTAAATCTCATGAACTTCAAACGAAATATACATTCTAGGATATGAAACGATTTTTACTCTCATATAATTTAGTATTAAAATTACTATAACATTGACAACCTCATGGAACAGAGTATAGAATGGCAGTCAACTCTCTACCTCAACTTCATTGACTTCGAAAAGGCCTTCGACAGCGTCGACCAAGAAGTAATTTGGAAACTGCTTCAATATTACGGAATACCACAAACCTTTATCAATCTCATTCAACAACTATATGAAGACTCCGCATGCCAAGTAATTTACAATGGGAAGCTCAGTGACGCCTTTGCAGTGAAGTGAAGACAGGAGTGAAACAAGGTTGCCTACTATCACCCATGATATTCCTGATTGTGATGGACTGGATCATGTAACAAACAGTGAGGAACGAGAAGAGAGGGATACACTGGACCGATGAAAAGAACCTAGAAGATTTAGATTTCGCCGATGATGACTTGAGTCTAATGTCACACAAACTCGAAGATGTACAGGCGAAAACTAACAACTTGACAGAAGAGGTAGGGCAAGGTAGGGCAGCGAAGATGGGACTTCAAGTGAATGTAGAGAAGATACAGGTGATGAAGATACCCAACCAACAACAACAACCACAGCGACAAGCACCAATCACCATGAACGGGAGAAACTTAAAGGAGGTAGTCTCTTTCACCTACCTACCTACCTGCCTAGTCAGCACTTTTTCAACTAAAGGCGGTACAAACGAGGACATCAAAGCCAGCCAGGATCGGAAAGACAGCAAGACAGGCGTTCATCAACCTGAAACCAGTGTGGACATCTACTTCACTGCATTCAGCATAAAGCGTGAACAACATCCAGATTTCCAACACTAATGCCAGTCAAGTCAGTGCTTCTATGTGATAGTTGAGAAAATCGGCGTGTTACGAAAAACATTTCCAACAAACTACAGACATTCATCAACAGCTGCCACCTACGCTGGCTTGATACAGAAGATCAGATCAGATGACCAGAAAGAATGAGTAAGGAGGAACTCTGGCTGGCTGGCTTGCAACGAACCAACCAAGAAGCCATCGCCCAACAAAAGTGCAGAAGGCAGTGGAGATATATTGGGCATACGCTGAGTAGACCATTCGGGGATATCACGCATCAGGCCAGGCCCTCGAGTGGAACTCATATGGGAAACGACGAGTTAGGTGTCTGATGTGAGGGTGACATGGAGGAGATGGTGTGAGGGTAGTCGTGGAGCCAGGTTCAAAAGATTACAGAGACGAGAGTGCACTGGAAACGTGCTATTGAAGCCTAATATTGCATTAGGAACCCAAGGAACAAATAAATAATTATATATAATAATAATATTGACAATTGAATACATTCACTTATTTAAACAAATCAAAATTGAAACAAAGAAATAATATAAAATAAATTTATATAGTATACATATACTACTTTTTATGTTTATTCATAATCAACTTAAATTCTTCAAAGGATATAGTTCCATTTTTATCAATATCTGCTTCATGAATCATTTCATCAATTTCACTATCAGTTAACTTTAAATGTAAACTTTGTAAAACAATTTTTAATTCTTTTGATGTAATATTACCATCTTTATCTTTATCAAAGAAATTAAATGATCCCCATAAATATGTATCATCTATATTATTTGATATTATAAGTGGAGACATTAATTCAAGAAATTCTCTAAAATCAATAATACCATCATTATTTTTATCAACATGTAACATCATCTCTTTAGCTTCATTCAATGTACATGGTCGACTAAACATCTTCATTATTGAACATAACTCTTGTATTGTTATATATCCATTATGATCTTTATCGAATAATCTAAAAGTTTCTCTTAATTCATCTATTTGTTCTTCAGTTAAATTTTGACTAGTCATCTTGTTCAATGTATATAGAAAGAAATGAATAATTAGACTGTTTTGATGTGTTTGTTTCAATGTGATTCAATTGATCATTGAACGATTAAATCATGTGACTGATGGATATTGTAACCTACTGAAACTATTCAACATGAATGGTATTAACAAGGAGGAATTCAATATTATTAATGAATGGGTAGTAACTAGCAGTAGAACCCCTATGACATGCGTTTCGTCCTATTTGGGACTCGTCAACTGACGAAGCTAATATGCTAATAACGACCGATCAACTCAATCCTATCGACGACAGAGATGCGCAAGATATATCATCAAAGAGGAATTTAGTTACTTGATATACCACACCTGTATGGATTTTCTAAGATAATATGTCCAGTCATCTACACATAAACCAATAATTTAAAGCAACTGGTCCGTTTGATAAATTTAAGCAGAGTAATGAGAAGACAAACATTATCTGAAACATGTGATGTATTATTATTATTATTTGTTGCTGAGGTTCCTAGTGGAACATATAGGCCTTCAGTAGCTCGTCGCCATTGCACTCTGTTCTCTGCAGTCTCTTGAACCTGGCACGATGACTGCCCACAAGCTTTCCTTTCTTCCTCACACCATCTCCTCCATGTCACCCTCTCCTAGGATGCCTAACAAGTCGTTTCCCCTTTGGGTGCCACTCGACTGCCTAGCCTGATGTGTGATATCCCCAAATGGTCTTCTCAGTGAATACCCAATACAATCCATCTCCATTTTCTTCTTGTATATATGTGTTGGGCGATGGGTTCTTGCTTGGTTCGTTGCCAGCTAACCAGAGTTCGTTATTGCTTATTCTTTCTGGCCATCTGATCTCCATCTTCAATAGCGAGTGAGCGTAGACGGCAGTTGTTCATGAATGTCTGTAGTTTGTTGGAAATGCTTTCCGTAACGCATCAAGTTTCTCAACCATATAGAAGCACTGATTTGATGTGATGTATTAGCGCTATACATTTCGAACAATCTGATAGCAAATATGGACTTGTCGAACTATTTATATGAAAATATACGAAAAAGGTCAATGAAGTGAATAGGAAGGGCAGAGAAAAAAAACAAAATCGTAATCACATTACTCTTAGTATGAAAATTAAAATCAGTACAACCAAGGTATGTTCAGTATGAGTACAAATTGTTTGAATTTAGAGATGGTAAAAGCTTCAATAAATTTAAGCACTCGGCTCTGACCACTTTTATGTAGTACTTTAAAGGCTATTTTCATGTCTATCCTATGGTTAGTTTCTTGTATATGTTAAGCGATAGACGAAGATGGATGTTTGTCATTTGTACTTATCAGATTTGTTGAGGACGTTTGTTTTTGGAGCCACTTAGGTACATGTTCAACCATTCTTAACTGTAGATCACGATTACTCCTCCTTATGTATATGTGTCCAAACATACATATAAATTGATAAATACAGTGGGATATGATGTAATTGTTTATATGTTGTTTTTGGTTCGTACTGTAACATGGACTTCGTCTTGTTTACAGTGATGATCTTGACTGCTTAATATGTTTTACAGATGGCTGATCTAAGTCTTTTCCTCACAACAAAGCTGTGTGAATCACCTCTAAATGGTAATGAGATGTAGACATTTGTCTTAACAACAAAACACTTTGTACATTTCAATGGTACATAAATTTTGCACCTGTTGATAAATTTCAATGGGTAACTATTATGTATCAGTGTTGTCGTCAGTAAGTTGGTCTCTTCCTCCCTGGTGTCATATCCGTACAGATGCGGTTTATCCTGTTGAATAAGCATTTAACTAAATAGCGTTTATACTGAACTACGCAATAGCTATGGAAGTTAGGATATTGGCTTGTCCATGTAAAGTGGTTAATAAAAGTTTTGAATCCTATCTGAAGTCAACTCTTCAAGTCCTACCTTGAATGATGCATATGAATTGTACATCAAAGAGTTAGCCAAAGATATGGATTACAAACATTTATTTCGATATAGAGATATTTGGATGATATAAGTGTTATTTATGGAAAAACTGACGAGGCAATATACTTATTAGATGAAATGAATGAAAAATTATGATTTTCAGAATTAATGACTAGTCGAAAAGGGATCAGATTAACCAGAAGGTGTATCTACAAGAAACCGACTTGAACAGGACAATACTTTAATGCCCTCAGTTACTTTCAAGTCTAAAATAAGCGTGGTGTAGTCATGTGTTTATCTAATATAGTTGATTGTATTTACACAGAGGAAATGAAGCAAAATCGTTGACGAATAGATACATTTCGTAGTAATTATGGATACTGAGTAGCAACGGAATCCATTATGCGAGTTTCGTCCGATTTGAGACTTATCAGCTGGATATATGTGCTTCCGATTCAGTGCTGTTCCTATCAGTTAATACAAGCAACACCATAGATACACTGACACAAAGTGGATATTCATTTAATTTTACCAACAGGTGTTAAATTGGTACAACAGTGAGACTAATTAATCAGTATTCACAATCAATAAGAAATATGTGTATACTACATTGTCACAGTCGTGAATCAAATAACTTAATTTAGAAGAAAAGACTCAGGTCGCGTGGTGGTACAACGTATAAGTGTCTTTAAAGGCCACCCTAGCAACTGACAGAATGACCAATCAGGCTTCGATATTTTGCCTGGGGAAGTACTTTTCTGTGAAAGAAAAGAATGCAATTGGCTGTTTCATCAATTGCTGGGATAACTTTTAAAGTTACTCCAGTAACCTTAAAGGAGAAAACAAAACTCGTGCTTCAACTTAAACCTAAACAATAAATGAACGAGTGTATCATATCCGCATACACACACAGAGGAGCAATCGTGACATGTAGCTGAGACTAGTTGAAAACATACCTAAGTACCTCCAAAAACAAATGACCCTAATAGTCTGAAAAGGCTAGGTGACAAAAGTTCTTCCTCATCTATTCCAAAACAAACAAGAAACTGATCAAAAGCTTTGTATGAAGACAAACTTTGTTTTACTGCATAAATAGGTTCAAGGAGGAATATTTTCGATATATCGAAGCAACGACTTTAAAGGCAACCTTAGTAACAACTGAATTGAATAATACTCAAAGCCTCATTGGTAATTTCAGTTGTTGCTAGGGTGGCCTCCAAAGTCACCCTAACTTCGAGGAATGATTTTAACGGCCACCCTGACAACTCCTGAAATGACCAATCAGGTTGTGGTATGTTGCATGGACAGAGAATTTTTCATAGAGTAGGTTAACGCAATTGGTTGTTTCATCAGTTGTTAGGGTGGTTTTAAAGTTCCTGTTAAAGTCACTGCAACTTCGATTAACTTTATGGGCGATTCTAAGATCCATCCCAGCAACTGCTAAAATGACCAATCATGCTTTGTTATTTCACCTGGAAGAGTACTTTTCCACAAAAAGCGGAAAGACCCTAACGTCGGTGTGACTTTAAAGACGTCCACCCTAACAACAACAAATAACCAACCAAACTCCTTTATTTTATGAAAATCTAACTTTCTAGCTGAAATAAAGAAACCTAATTGCGTATTTCGATCATTGCTAGAATGGCCTTTGAAGCCGCCCTCAAAGTCACTGTAACTTCGATTGACTATAAAGACGACTCCAAAGACCACCCCAGCAACTGCTAAGGATAACCAATCACGCTTCGGTATCTCCGCCTGGTAAAGTACTTTTTGACAAAATAGCGGTATATAATTAGCCGTCTCATCAGTTGTTAGGCTAGCCTTCAAAGTTATGCGTTAACTTTACTTATTCTGCCTACAAGGTGTAATAATATCGAAATACTAGGATTGTCTCATTCTTTCGGACCATAGAACTAAAATAAAGTGAAATGAAAAGGTCGGAGCAAAAATAATTCATATCACCACCGCCAATAGTCTGTTCGTTTGAAACAAATACCATCAGGTGAGGTTTGAATGGATTAAGGCTGTTTAAATTTATGAATGACAAAGCCTTCGAGACGGCGACTCTAGCAGCAAGCGAAATAACCAATTAGGTTTCTTTATTTCAGCTAAAAAGTCAGATTTTCATAAAATAAAGGAGTTTGGTTGGTTATTTGTTGTTGTTAGGGTGGACGTCTTTAAAGTCACACCGACGTTGGGGTCTTTCCGCCCTTTTTGTGGAAAATTCTCTTCCAGGTGAAATAACAAAGCATGATTGGTCATTTTAGCAGTTGCTGGGATGGATCTTAGAATCGCCCATAAAGTTAATCGAAGTTGCAGTGACTTTAACAGGAACTTTAAAGACTACCCTAACAACTGATGAAACAACCAATTGCGTTAACCTACTCTATGAAAAATTCTCTGTCCACGCAACATACCACAACCTGATTGGTCATTTCAGCAGTTGTCAGGGTGGCCGTTAAAATCAGTCCTCGAAGTTAGGTTGACTTTGGAGGCCACCCTAGCAACAACTGAAATGACCAATAAGACTTTGGGTATGTCACCTGAGTAAGTACTTTCTGATAAAATAAAGGAATGTAATTGACTGTCTTATCAGTTGCTAAGGTGGCCTATAATGTTGCCCTGACATTATCTTAAGTATATTTAAATTGCGCCTAAAAACCTGAGATTCTCACCCACCAGATATTTTGAAATACAATACCAATGGCTTAGTTGTGACCGAATTTATGAAGCAAGCATATGAGAGGCTTCCTGAAATAGTTTACACTATACCTTTGGTCATTATTATTATTGTGTGTATTAATCCACGTGTATATGCCAGGGGAATTACATTGAGAGAAGGCTTACCTTCGATATTTGAACATGGTACAAGTATCCTCAATAGTGAAATTACTAAGCACTTTTCAGCCATAGTACATAAAGTAGACAGACAGATGCTTTGGAATTGTTCAAAATAATGAACAAATCCTCTTCACTACACTGAAGCCAATCTAATCAAACATCTGTAAGTAGATTTATGTATTGAAAAGAAATATGTTGTGTTAATCATCAACTATCCTGGTAATCTAATTTCTCAACCTCCTAACTTATTTCATTGTACTGTCATTAGATTTTCAGTTCATACTAAACATACTTCAATTTCAATCTATTGAGTTGTTTTAGTTAGTACATTTTGTTTTCTGATTATTACTAACTTGTCTAAGCATCGACTTAATCTCTTTTTCAAAATTCCACAATATTCATTTGAATCCTGTCCCTATTCAACCTTCATTAAAACTTTTGTTCTAATAAGATATGATATTATTACATGACATTGTGACTTTGTTTTAATTTAGACAGTTTCTTCACTTTTCAGCTGATGAAGATTGCCGAAATAACAAAATAGATGGATAATACTATTATGCGCCGATGTTTGTTTTTTTCTCTTCCAAGGAACATTACGGTGTATGTTAGTTCATAGCAAGATTCATTTATATATATATATATATATATATATATATATATATATATATAATATATATATATAGAAAGGTTTTATCAGCGAGAAGATGGGCGTACGCTGGACCGATGAAAAGACCCTAGATGATTTGGATTTCGCCAACGATGGTTTATGTCTAATGTCACACAAACTCGAAGATCTATAGCCGAAAACTAACAAGTTGACAGTGAAGATGGGACCTCCTTCAACTGAACGTAAAGAAGACACATATGATGAAGATACCCAACCAACAACAGCATCAACAACAAGCACTAATCACTATCAACGGAAGAAACCTAAAGAAAGTATCTCTTTCACCTACCTAGGCAGCATCATTTCAACTACAGGGGCACAGATGAAAATATCAAAACCAGCCGGGATCGGAAAAGCAAGACAGGCTTTCATTAGCCTGAAAATAGTGTGGTGATCTACTGCACTCAGCACAAACAACAAGATCCGGATTTTCAACACCAATGACAGTCAAGTCAGTGCGCTATGTGTCAGAAACTTGGCGTGTTACGAAAAGCATTTCCAACAAACTACTGATATTCATCAACAACTGCCACGTACGCTAGCTGGATAGTGAAGATCAGATGGCCAGAAAGAAAAAGCAACAAGGAACTCTGGGAACGAACTAACCAAGAACCCATCACCCAATAAATATGCTGAAGAAGAGAGTGGAGATTGATTGCGCATACACTGAGAAGGCCGATTGGGGACATCATGCATCAGGCCCTCGAGTGGAATCCAAAGAGGAAACGACGGTTGGGGCGTCCGATGCGAGGGTGACATGGAGGAGATGGTGTGAGGAAGAAAGGAAAGCTTGTAGGCAGTCGTAGTGCCAGTTCCGAAAGACTGTAGAGAACAGAGTGGAATGCAGACGTGCTACTGAATTCCTATGGTTCCACTAGGAACCCAACAGGAAAGGTTTTACCAAACAGTGGTTAGTGACTATATTGACTTGAAGAAATTAAACAGAAAACGGATAACTTATTTAGAAACTTCAGTCTAGCCATGTCTCCAGTTATTCTGCATGAAATTATCATCAAATCACCAAATTTGTTGTGCTGTATCGAACAACATGCTAAATCACAACCATATTTCTGACTCTTGTTAACTTCAGTGGTATTTAGAAGTAGTATTCATCATAGACTGACATCAGTTGGGGAACCATTGAAAATCTGGGAGCACTGGACAGCTGTTTTATCCAACTAGTATGGGACTCGTCAGCAGTGACATGTGGAGTCAACCAGCCGGAAGTGAATGTTAACTGAAGACCTTGGGTGACAGTCGCGCTATGTCGTGAATTGACAGAAGTTGGAAATTTTGAACCACTGGAAGCCGAATGGTTAACGCGTTCGCCGTGAAACCTGAAGGTCCTGAGTTACATCCCTAGCCGGGTCGTGGGTGCGTACTGCTGAGGAGTCCCATACTAGAACCAAACAGCTGTCCAGTGCTCCCAGATTTTCAATGGTTCCCCAACTGATGTCAGTCCATGATGAATACTACTTCTAAATTAAAAATCCCCATCCATCTCAAAAATACATTTCAATAGTATTTATCAATTCATATACGCATGCTGTGGTAAGTACGTAGTAAGAATAGATAGGTGTTTGTCTTGTAGGACTGATTTATCGAGATGTTGCTCATTGGTTTAGAGAGATGATATGCAACGGATAAGCTTATTCAGAATTCAAACATGGTGCGAAATGTGTGCCAAGAGTTGTATCGTACAAAATAATACAACAAAATTAAGAGAATAAAAAAGTGAACCTCTTACCATCTTTTCGATAACATATGAAAAGGCGAGACAGCACTGTGTACACCATTGGCTTCAGTTCTGAGCCATAGTATCTGACTTCGTCTTAAGGCATTGAGTTGTACAATCTCTCAGTCCTCATTCGAGATTACTGAAACACTTACAAATCCCGAAACAGCACAGATTTCCTTCATTCTAGTGTAAGGGATGCCTATATCCCCCAATACTTACAGTTTGTATATATTTGAACTGATTTATTCGCGCTCTTTTCTCATGCATGGGTCATATTTCGTATGACCCGATAGTGTTCTGATTGCCTCATTATTTGTAATAATTATCCCTTGTCTTTCAGGGTTACTATAAACTCTATAAATAGGGCCCGTTTCCCTCATAAACATTTGCAGTCCGAGATACTAAAAACTCATCTGATTTCCAGTCTATTAATCTCTCTTTGCAAATCACTCGGGTTGAGTCGTCTCAACCCTCGACTATCAATCATTAAGTATTTTCGTTCGTTCTCACAACTCAGCATCATAACACTTAGTAAACCCCTTTATAACATTGACCAATCTTCCAACTAAATAACGATTGAGACTAATACTGCTGATGTTTACTCCATTGCTTATATCAGGCAAACTTACTTCGTAAGGTTCAATTGCTAAGATACTTGGACACCTTGCAACAACATTCCTACCAGCGAGAAGTAATACAAAATATACGCAAACCAAACCATCTCAGAGTTTATCAATACATAAATTAATGTAACAAAATCTCATTAGTATTGCATTATTCAAATAATAATCACCAATTTCAATGTACAAGTGGCATAAATCCAGAATTAATATTTACATTCAAGGTCAATACAATTTTTATATACACAGTTCTAGTTATTCAGACTACAAACCACCAGCAAATAGACTGTTCATAAATTCTGCATTAGACACAGCTGAAAAACCAAGACATCCATCTGGTGGTGTACGATTGGATCGAGCAAGTCTTTCTTTGATTTCATCTTCTGTGAGTTTTTGACGTTTATTCAAATCTAGTGCTTTCCGTTCATTGAACCTAAATCAAGCATATAGAATAAGCGGAATTTAACTATGGATGAGTAGTTAACAATAATAAACTATAATGTGATTATATAATGATGTGCAGATTCGTCTGATAATAACACTGACTGACTTTCTGGCCCGATGCTCTACCAGCTGAGCTACGAGAGCATCGGGTTGGAAACCTGTTGGTCGCTGGTTCGAATCCCGTTGCGGTTCAAATTTTCATTTCACCTTAAATCATTACCCAGTGTCAATACTAGTCTGACAAACTAAGTCTGCTATCTCAGATAGTCAAAATGATGACTACGTAGTGCCGAATTTGCTTTATTATATATCATAATTACATATTTAAAGTACAGAATTCTCAGCATGTCATATTACATCACTTAACTCGTTGTAAAACATTTTTTTCAAATCTACATTAACAATGGTACTGGCTAACCACACATAATAATCAATAACAGGATTGTTGAAATGTTCAGTGACTTCAGGGACTTGACAACTATCCCGTTATTCCATCCATCCAAATCAACATAGGACCAGGCATTACTGCGTAACGGTCCAACTTGCAACACCTCACATCACTACATCAAGTAAAAAGGCAGTGAAGTAGAAGATGAAGAAAAGAAAATTCAGTCGAAAGAGAAATATATTGTACGAGAAGAGAGAATGAGAAAATGGTGAGATTCGGTATAACGTCGTTAAGATGACGATAATGTGTGTATACACATCTGCGCCAACCACATCGATTATCAGCCAACTGTCCGTTATTGCAAAACTTGATTGATAAAACCTTGTTTAACATGATTTCGGTCAGACAATACACAAGCTAAATTAGGCGGTATGGTTGACCTTTTGTATGTTATTGTGTGCGTGCATACAGTTTAATATATGTATCTGCTTCTTATCTTCCTGAGCAGAGAGGTGAAGATGAACAGGATGCTTGTCATTAGATAAAATATTCTCAGCCAACTGTCTACAAGAGTTCAGATGTTTATCCACGACTACATTTATCAACACGGTTACTGGTGTACCACTTCTTCTACTAACACCTTCCAAAATCCTACACAGTACAGTGTAGTCTTTTTTCCGGAGTCCATAAAAGATTAAGGTGGAATAAGAAGTAAGCATCGGCAAAACAGTAATTAATGAATATGAGATTAGAGGCTGGGTTATGCTAGACAGTTTGAGTTTCCTTACGTAAAAGATGAAGCGAATGATTTCCCTGGAAATCAGTGAGATATGATGGGACCAAGAAAGATCAGAAGATGGATCACGCTTGATATATTCTCTATAATAAAACTATCTATAAGACAAGAGTCATCCAAGTGAAACAAACATGTCTTAAGCTAAAATTAACCATCTTCCATTTGGAGGGATTCAATGTGAGCCCATTTAAGGAAAACCAAGGACTGTAAAATTCATAGAATTCAGTACCTACTATTAACTTTTCGAAAGTTCATATATCCAAGCAGTTTCTTAAGTGTTACTAGAGTCATAATAAATTTAACAACAGTTTCTGTAGTCAAATAAGAGTGATTATTACCATACTCTATATCCATATAAATTCGGTGTCTCCTAACGTTTTATACAACTACCATCGCTTTTTGATACTGGTAACAGTCAGAAGCTACAGAAGTTTCATAATAGTCCCCCTCAACTCACTATGACCCAGCCAACCAAGACGTAGTATTACACACAAGCCTTCATCATACTAAGTGTGGTTTACAGCTTAGGATACACACACACACAAGCACATAAGTGGAGCAGACTGACCGTTCAAATGAAGGTGATGTTTACAAAATAAGAGAATTAATGATAGATAGTGGTTAATAATGGAATCCAAGAAGTGTGTTTCACCAACTGAATGTAATATCTGCCTCCCAATGAACGATGTTGTTTCCACTAAAGCTCCAGCCTTGAATTGATCAATTCAAACACCGGATAGGCTATCGAGTGACAATAACCACTTCTTATGTAACAAGTGTAGTCGTCTTAATATTGTTGCTTGTATTATCCCATCATTGATTGGACCGAATTGATCAGTTTCTATTGGCGGATGCCCGCCCCGATATTACCCGAGTTTGGATTATAAACTAATGATGGATAGTGACCAATCAACGATATCTAATAACTTATCACCAGATCTGTGAATGTACACGTAACTATCTAGTGAAGTTGGAGAACCCTGATTTCAGTATAACTTATGGTTCACATATAACCCAGTGTCCTGAGAAAAACGTTTTTGGATTTATCCTGGTCACCAATATCCCTTAGAATGTTTGCTCAGTAATTAAAGACCTTTGTAGCACAGACCGTGCCTTGTGATGTCACCATCTGAGTAACACAGAAGTCAAACGTAAAGTCTTAGGCAGGAGAAGCTGTTGCGAACTATCATCGACTGAGATGGCTGGCTGGGATATGTGTTACGCATGCCTAAACCACCGTCTATATCGTCACATAATGTTGGCAGAAGTAGGGTCAGGCTAGGAAAAAGGCTCAGAGCAGTCAGACTAAAACATGGCATCAAAGCATGAAGTCCTCGACTGTTGGTTTGAACCATGTAAGGCAATTCAGACTAGCCGGATGGAGTCCACAGGACAAGAGAAACCAGTAATTGGAGATTCTAGGTGATGATATGGCTGAGAACCGATGTCAGTGACCCAGATGCATTCACACATTATCCTCACATTAACCGTTATACTTAGTCACCACATTTTCTCATTCCTACCTTCTTTCACTACTTCCTACTTCTACTTCTTTTGACCGAGTTTTCTTTCCTCCTTCATCCTTAATTTCATTTACCTTGTTACTTGATATGCTGGTATAATGAGGTGTGGCAACTTGGGTCGTTAAGCAGTAACCACTAGTCCGATATTGATCTTGATGATGATACGAATTAAGGGCTATATATTTTAACATCTTAACGTAGCTACACGTTTCAGTAGTGATATCTATCCTAACAGGATATCAGTCTTGAGACAAATCATGATAAGAAAGACTCTATGGTAACATCTTTTAGCAATTATAAAACTTTTTACTATTGATCAGGCCTAACAAGTCATGATTACAGTACTATATTAATTTATACTGAGTGATAATTGAAGGGGAAATGGAAATTCGGACTGGTCAGATTTCAACCAGCGACCACTATGTTTACTGTCCTATGCTCTACCAACTCATCTACGAGATTCGACTGCCCACCATATTTTTATTTCACTTCAATTACAAGCAGGGTTTTGCCCGACTACCATGTGAATTAGTGATGCGTTACTATTCCTTGATCGTATTCACACTGGCTGCCCACCAGAGTCAGGACTTCTCATCCAAATCGGAATCTAACTGAATTACAGAGAGGGGGGCAGCATATGGCTTATCAGTTTGACTATCTGAGATAGCAGCCGTAGTTTGGCAGCATAAATACTATTCTGCCAAACTATGTAAATGATACACTACGTTAATTCACAATATTTTGGTATTTTGCCTATGGATTGTGCCTTTTCTGATACCTTTCTTTACCTTTGCTCCATTCAACTGTTCCACACTGTTGTCACACATTTTAATTTAGAACACAAATGTGCTGCAAGATAGGAACCAAGCGATAAATCATAGAAAATACTTAATAGCAACATTGAGAAGGCACATAAAAACAGAATGGAGATAAAAACACAAGAGGGCTATCAAAGAAGTAGCCTTAAACATACGTCGAATGAAGAATTCACCATGATCGAATATTGGTTTCCATCCTAAGCTATGTGTCTGCTATCGTCTAAAGCCAGTGGGTTGCATTATCTCTTGAGTCCTATTAAAGAGTCATGAGGCACCTACAGATACGCTTTCATCCTACAGTGCTATATCTTACACTGAACACCTCTTCGCTTCTTCCCAGGGTAAGTAAGTAGTGAGAGGCGTGAGAGTCGCGGAGATAACACATATGTCCAAGCCACTGAATAGGGTGTTTCAAGATGATCACATTGAATCCTAAACACATGCCGCTTCATCTCAAAATTACTTACATGATGTTTCACCAGATGAGAGCAATTCTGTGGCGACAACGGTAATGGAGAACGCGCAGTCTTTGGACATCCTCAGCTCAAATAGGTCAGGTTTCACAAACGTACAGTAAAACTGCTTACGCCAACGCGTTGTATACAGGACCTTTCACAGCAAAGTTAACATACAGATTACACTAAAGGAGACACAATATGGTGCACACTACTCTGGTTTTCGATATATGGTTGGAAATCTTGTCACACCTCCAGTAACACTTACACAACTAACCACGTACGTAAACTTGTAGACAAAACCCACTTTGCACTTTGGTGGTGCAAAGCGCATGTCATACTTGTGCACACTGATCGTTAACCGGTAGATTGCGATATAAGTGGAAAACTTGTTGTCGCATAGCATGACGATATCGTTTGCATACTCACAGTCAAAGTCTTTTAACTCTATCCACCTGCCCCCACCCCAACAAATACCTCCTTCAGGGATTTCCCAAAAATATCATTAGTGGACAAAGAAGAATGGTGAAATCATGCAACCCTGCCTAAAATTAACATTTAGTTTGGAACAATGAAGATAAATGGTTGTAGGCATTTCCCCTGTCAAAGGTGTTAAAATATGGGGTCTTTAAGATGTTTCAGAAACACACTTTCTCCGACGGACAATTCCAGATTACAAACCTACCCAACAATTCGAAGGTAGCTATGATATCAAGAAATTAGCAGTTGAACGAGAATGCGCAACTAACCTTTTCCACTTCGTTTCCCACTTAACTATCGATAAAAATTCTCGAGATAACTCTGAAAGAGGTATGAAGTGGTAATACAGATATGCCATCAGCACAGATAGATAGACATACAGACACAATCAACGTAAAACCTCACACACAAGTACAAAGGCATAAGCCGACACACTTCATAGTAGTACAGAAATGCCAGATGGAAAGAAGACTGATATAAAAGAAGACAAAGTAGTATGACAGAATAACAGTCTGAAGATAACGGTTAGTGTGAATATTCAAGCTTTGAATATCAAAGAGTAAATACATATGTGCTACTGGTACTGATTTTCAGCTGTAACCAACAGCACACGACCACTAGTACCTATCGTCTCGACGACATCAGTCAGACAATCTACATCGCCTCCATACGACTTAAACCAACAGTCACAGACTTCAACGACTGATGCTATATCTTGATTTGAGCAACCTGAACCCTCTCCCAACCTAATCCAACTTCTGCTAGTATTCCACGTTGAGGTAGGCGGTGGCTTGGTATGTGTAGTACATAAGAAGTCAAAAGTACCGATGATTGTGACCATTACTACGTCTATGACGAAGTCTACCAGCAACGGTGACAGAGTATCCTCTGTCACCCTGGCCAACACCACTAGTTGTCGTCAATTCACATGATAACTCTCAAAAACCTCTTACACGGCTGGCTGTGAGTTCAAGTACACAGCTTTCATTAGCCTTATATACTTGTTTAATACTCCCTTCATAGTCGAATGCTGCCTTCAGATCAACAATTATGGCGAGTGTCGGTCAGCGGTAGGTATAACTGTCTTCCAGAATCTGCCGTAGAGTAAAAATATGGTAGATGAACCCTCATCTAAGTCTGAAACCTACCTGGTTTTCTCAACTTTGCTGCTCTCGAGCTTCAATCAGATGTTGGATAACTATGAACCCTAGGATCTTGGACACAATATTAGCCAAACTAATTCCCCTATCGTTGTTAAATGAAGACTTCTCTCCCTTCTTGTGCACTGCGATGATCACTGATGTACACCATTCTGACACCACTACCTCTGATTTCCATACACTACCTAGTTCATCCGTCACTTGAATTAGCAATTTTCTACCTTCATTCTTAAAAACTTCAGGTGGCAAGCCGTCACGTCATACTACTTCGCATCATTTCAGGTTTGATAAGGCTTTCTCAACTTCAAGTAGAGTTGAATGACCAACATCTACATCCCATTCAGGTTCAGGCTGGATGTTGAGCAACTAAATCGGTGCTGAGGGTCAGTTGAACTGAGCTTCAAAGTGCTTAGCCCAACGTTCTAGTCGCCTGTACTGAAAGGTTATCGGCGTCCCATCTTTTTCGATGATTGTTTCTTCTTGCCGGTATGCGTAATGAGACTAAACAGTTTACGCGTGTTACCCAACGCTGATGCCTTCTACATGTCTCTCGCTTTCGCCTTCCACCACTCCTTGAGATTATCAGGAAAACTTTTAGTCAATTTAAGCTTAGTCTGCTTTTGCTTTTCACTGTAATCAGAGCCAGTTGGGATCAATATTGTCGAATCGATCAGTTCAGATAACGTTTTGGGAACCTATTACTAGTCGCTAACCTTCGGGTGTAGGTTACAAACTGTCCTTACCTCTGTTTATACAACAGACTTAATATCACGCAAGGTTTCCTCAGGATGAGCATTGCTGTCACATCCAGATAAATTTTTCACTAACCCCTCTCTAAATACGTACTTTACGTTTTCATCTTCCCAATGAGCACACACGGCTTTTGTTGCTGCTTTTTTTCTGCGTCCAATAAGGTGTAAACATACACATGTCCGTACTAAGGTGTGATCAAAGTCCAAATAGGTACTCCACAAAGAATGACAATCCTCCAACGATCTATCTGTGTCCATTGTTACTTTGATGTCAGTGGATATCATGTGAGACGTCATTTATCCTTAAGTCTGAAGTTAGTTCTAGACAGAAACAAGTGATTGTCAGACGATCACTATCTTGAGCTCATTGGTACGGGATTCCGACTTATTTAGCTTTCCTACTTGATAGTTAAAGTAGCCTAAAATGATGATTTTTACAACGATTGACACTCACTATTTCTATTTTCGCCTTCCTTTACCTCACATTTATTTTTCAATGCTTAGTGTCTAAAGTGTGCCAAATTTATGTTATAGTAATCAAAGCAATTTAGCTTACTCTCATATTACTTTTTGCAGTAAGACGCTAAATGACTCTTAATGTTACTCGTAAGTTTAACAAACAGATCAGGAATAAATGAAGTCGAATAATCCAGTCAGTAGTCAGTATCGTCATGGAACCTTGTGTTACTAACGTAACTGTCTAAGTAGCAATAGATTATATCAACACATCAAGGAAGTAGAAGTTCATGTAGAAATAAGAAGAGACAACACAATAACAAAATTCGATATGACGATTAAGATAAATGAATGTGAATGCATACCCACCATTGAGATGGATCCAACTACAGATTTCGATTGTCATGCGGACTCCAACCAGGAAACTTACATTCCCCTACACAGTTATCACTAGTAGTGAGAAACTTCATGAACTAGTGCCATTTCTTGTCTGATCACTCTGAACCCTATTCCAACCTAATCCAACTACTCTTAGCATCGCATGTCGAGGTAGGTGTTGGCTCAGCATACGCAACATATGTATCTAGGCCACCTAAGTCGATGACGGTTTACAACCTGATCGACTGACTTGCCTTCCTTGCTTGATACCCCTTCACCTGATCTATGCATTACTCACACGATGATTCCACCAAACGCCAGTAATGCCTAGAAGACACCCTGATTAAAGCTCTATACCCCTTCATATCTACTACCTTTAACGGTCAATGAAAAATCATGAAGTGAGCACAAGTTGCATTGACAAGTGATTATTTACAGTGAAAATGTATTTATACGCTTCATTGTTTGTCTTTCCATCGATAACATCTCATATTATAACCATTTATCAAGCTTTATCTTATATATTTACTAAGTTTCATCCCAACGCTATAAAACCGCATATACTACTCAACGTATACAATTTGAGCGCAACAATTTCTATGCATCATGACAAGGTAACGCAGAAAAGCTATTAGAAATAGGGAACTAACTACAGTATCTACACTAGATTTCTCCCAACAAACTAAGCATAAACCTTGATTTATATAAAACTAGAAAGATGCTAATCAAGTAAGATTACTATATCTCAAGCACTATAAATAAAAACAAAAATGCTTCGAGAGGTATTTCCGAAGTCCCAGTGAGAAGTTGTGACCGGTGGAGGCAAAGCCTGATGGTCATGAGGACAGTTACTCAACGGTGACATTGGGTGGCGGTTGCTCTATATTGTGAGCTAACAGCAGTTGGAAATATGAACCACTGGATCCCCACCCAGTGGCTCAATGGTAACTTGCTGGCCACGGAACCTGAAGGTCGCGAGTTCGACCCCTGGCGAGGTCGTGGGTGCGCACTGCTGAGGAATCCCATACTAGGACAAAATAGCTGTCCAGTGCTCCCAGGTTTCTTTTGTTCCTCTAACTGATGTCAGTCTACGATGAATACCATTTTGAAATACTTCCAAGTCCCCACAACTTCCTCAAAAAATGCATACCTTTTCCCTTTCACCAGCTTCATTCGTTTTTCCAGTTTCTTAGCATCTAGAGCTGCAGAAAACTGACGAGACTGATGTTTAGCAACTACAATGTCACGATCATGTGCTGCACGTCTCTGCTCTTCTTCTTCGCGTTCAGCACCGAAAAGATCATTCCATGAAGTATCTTTCAAGAATCTAATATTCCATAGTTCACCAAACCAAGGATTACGCTGGAAATAAAACGTTATATTGAATATATGATGCAATCGAAAGGTGGGAGTTGCGTCAACAACTTTGAAAGTTTGTATGCACATTTTATCAGAAAAATTACACCAAATCTTACAAAACAAAAAGCCAGAAGTCAATAAAAGTCTGAAATAAACAAGAAAATATTGAAATGCAGTTAAACACACAAACAGACAGACACGAATTTATGCGCAGCGTTGCACACAAGCTTATCAGCCGGTCCAATGAGAAAAGAATGATTAGAGAGCAGGGTGGGCCATTCCAATAAAATGATCGAAAATTCAAAGACGGTGACACTAGTATACGCTTGAGCTACTGCGCCTTGTTAACAGAGACATATCCGCATAACAGGCATAAAATTAATACCAAACGTTAACTATCCTAATACACCAGACGCAAAATTATTACTTTATTTTTTCTCCCTTCGGTTCCCAGTAGAACATAGGGCTTCAGTAGCACGTCGCCATTTCACTCTCTTCTCTACAGTCATTTCAACCTGGCTCCACGACTGTCCACCAGCTTTCATTTCTTCCTCATATGATATCCTCAATGTCGCCCTCGGACGCCCAATTCGTCCTTTCCGTTTGTGTCCCACTCGACTGCCTGGCTTGGCACGTGATGTCCCTAAATGGTCTTCTCACTGTGTCCAATCCAATCCAGCTCCACTGCCTTCTGCATATTTGTTGGGCGATGGGTTCTTGGTTGGTTCGTTGCAAGCCAGCCAGCCAGCCCCCCCCCCCCCCCAGCCAGAGTTCCTCCCCACTTATTCATCTTAACCATCTGATCATCTTCAGTATCGAGTGAGCGTAGGTGGCAGCTGTTCATGTACGTCTGTAGTTTGTCGGAAACGCTTTACGTAACGCGCCATGTCTCTCAACCATCACATAGAAGCACTGACTTGACTGACATGATTGTTGGAAATCTGGATGTTGTTCACGCTTTATGCTGCGTGTGGTGCAGCGCAGTGCAGTTCAGTTCAGCAGACCTCCACACTGACTTCAGATTAGTGCAGGAAGGCCTCTCTTGCTGTCTTTCCGATCGTGGATGGCTTTGACATCCTCATCTGTGCCTGTGCCTCCTGCGGTTGAAACGATGCTGCCTAAGTGGATGAAAAAGACTACTTCCTTTAGATTTCTCCTGTTCATGGTGATTGGTGCTCGTTGTTGTTGTTGTTGGTTGGGTATCTTCATCATCTATGTCTTCTCTACGCTCATCTGAAGCCCCATCCTAGCTGCCACTTCGGTTAACTTGTTGGTTTTTGCCTGTAGATCTTCGACTTTGTGCGGCGTTAGACACAAATCATCTAGGGTCTTCGCATCGGTCCAGCGTATCCCCATCTTCTCGCTCCCCACGGTTTGCTGCAGGATCCAGTCCACCACAATCAGGAAGATCATCGGTGGTAGTAGGCGGCAACCTTGTCTTGTCTCACTCCTGTCTTCATCTCAAAGGCGTCACTGAGCTTCCCATTGTGAATCACTTGGCATGTGGCATCTTCATATAGCATATAGCTGTTGAATGGGGTTGATAAAGGTTTGTGGCACTAAAACTGCAGTGTTGAAGCAACTGCCTACCAAATCACTTCTCGGTCGACGCCTCGATCGAAGGCCTTTTCAAAGTCGATGAAGTTGAGATAGAGAGTTGACTGCCATTCTACGCTCTGTTCTATGATGATGCGCAGCGTAGCGTAGTGTTGCAATTTGGTCCGCACATGATTTGTACTTCCTGAATACAACCAGCCTGTTCTGTTCGTTGTTTTGAATCCAGCGCATCCTCCAGTCTCCTCAAGATGATGCGGCCTAATATTTTGCTTGCTTTGAGGGGGACAGGGGTGGGGCATGATTCCGCGCCAGTTCCTCCAAACACTCAGGTCTCCCTTCTCTGCAAGTTTGACAAGGTAGCCCTTATTCCAATCAATGGGCGGGCACCTTCACTTCCTTCTTTGCAAAGCTTCTACAACAGTGGTGTCAGCATGTCCGCTGTTGTCTCTGCATCTGTTTTCAGTGCTTCTGGAGAAATTCCACCTGGTCCCGCTGCTTTCTCGGATTTCAGGGACTTTATGGTGTTCAGGACTTCACTTCTGCTTTTGTCGGAGGGCTTGTGTTCACTGGTAATTCTGTGGCTGTGCTGCTGGTGATATTTCTGGACGAGTTGCAGATGGTGGTTTATCCAAGAGTTTTCGAAGTGGTTAGCCCATCGTCTCCTTCGTTGCTCATCTTTGGCGGTAACTAGGTTTCCTTGACTATCTTTCATTGGTTTCATCTGTGCTCTGTTTATCCCTTCTCAGATAGTATTTTGGTTATTTGATATAACGTTGTCAGGTCTCTCCTACCAGCCTGCAGTCTGTTCTGCTTCACTTTTCAGTGTGTCGTAGAAGTGTCTTTCATCTCTTCGCCCACCCTTCTTCACTTCTTTGTCCAGTGTAGCGTTTTACAGGTTGTGTTCAGTTCCTCTTTCGTTGTTCATCCCTGCACTGCACTGCAATGGTTCATCTTCTGCTTCACCATCTTCCCCTCCCTTCTCTATCAGCTTCCATGTCTTCATCGAGATCCATTCCTTGTCTTGTCTCTTCTTCCCCTCCCCTTCATAACACAGTTATGCAGGTCTCCTTACGCATATCTTTCAAAAACGAGTTCCAGTGTTCTTCTACGCCGATTTCTTCAGGGATGCTGCTCAATATCTCACATTTTGTCCTAATAACTGACTGACTGACTGACGTGAAGATGTCCTGTGTAGTAGTTTCGTCATTCACTCTCGGCTCTGTGTGTCGAACTCCAACTGTGATCTATCACCAACTTCTTTGAGGGCTTTCAACCCGATCCTCAAAGTAGGTTCCTTGCATTAGATAGCTAGTGGTATGAAGCTACGTCTGCTCCCCTTCTTCATCCGATCTGATCTTGTGTCCAGTAGGATGGCTGCGTCTCCACTTTCTTCACATTCAGATGAAGTCGATCTAATTTTTAGAGTAGTGTGTCCTGGTGTCTGATGAAATCGAATCCATGTCACTCGCTTTGTGAATATCCTTGTATTTGTACACACTGCCTCTAATCACCAAATCGTTGGATGCGCAGAAGTCTGCAAACGGTTCTCATTCTCGTTCATTTACCCAAGTGCCTCCCAACCCATGATTGCTTCTCTTCCTGTGTTGTCTATTCCCAGTTCGGTATTCACGTCACCCCACCCATTAGACTGCGTTTCCATGTCGCCGTCTGGGGTGGGGCCCTGTCCATTACGGATTGCAGTTGTCTGTAGACTTCCTCCTCCTCTCTTCATCTACATCATTTGTAGGCGCAAAGCGCTGCATTGAATGATTGTCACCTTGCCTCCTTTTGATTCGAATCTTGCTGTCATAATCCTGATTCTGGAGGAGATTGGTTCCCACTGCATGAGAGCATTCGATGCTCACGCGGACATCATGATAGACACTCCAATACTCAGTGTGCTCATGGTTGTCGTCTGGGTGACAATATCGAAGTAGATTGTCGACTCTCCAGTTAAAAGTCTCGAGAGTCCGCTTGCATTCCGTCTGCAGACTCCAAGCACTTCTATGTTATATCTTCTCAGTTCTTTTGCAATCTTAACAGCCTAGCCAGCCAACCAGGTTCAAACATCGTGTGGACATTCCATGACCCCATTCTTACTTTCCCTTTCATCGAGAGAGAGAAGGCACACCGGTCAATTAGCTTCCCGAAGGCTTTCATCAACCGGCGTCATTTCACCTATCCGATTCCAGTGAGGAACAAGTTTATTCAAGTTTTTGATATTTTTTGTGTTTTGAAGTTCCTTTAGTGATTGGATTTGTTTTCCAGTGTAGGTTTGTTGGCCCTACGCCCAACCTTCTCTCTCTTTCCGGGACTACGAGTCAACTAGTTACCTAGTAAATAAGAATAATGATTCATCTTATGATATGGTATGGATCAGTGATTCGAAAAGAAGTAACTAACCTTTGACCCCAGAACTTCAACACAATTTAGCCGCTTGGCAACACGTTTAGCAACTTTCTTCTTCAAAAACTCAACCCAACCTTCTTCGTACTGCCGGTATTTGCCAACCTTTTTTCGCTTCGGTACTAAATAAACTCTACCAATTTTACCAAATTGTTGCATAATATCGGAGATCATGCTAACATTCATTCCAGTCGGTATAGTTGACAGATATATAATACCTGGAACATCAGACTCAACTATATCCTCTTCCATCTTGACATTCGATTCACTAACAAAAAAAGAGGATGAGAAGCTGGTTAATTGTGAAATGAATAGAAAATACTTATGGATGAACAATTGAATAGATAACAAAACAGTTCAAACCCAAACGTTACTTCATCATAGTAATGAGATTGAACTGTGTATATATACATAAACGATGATCTCGGTGATTGTGGTGGACTGAGTCATCCAACAAACTGAGGAGTGGAGATACGCAACCAACAACAACAACAACAAGGAGCACCAATCACCATGAACAGGAGAAATCTAAAGGAAGTAGTCTCTTTCATCCACTTAGGCAGCATCGTTTCAACCACAGGAGGCACAGGCACAGATGAGGATGTCAAAGCCAGCCACGATCGGAAAGACAGCAAGAGAGGCCTTCCTGCACTAATCTGAAGTCAGTGTGGAGGTCTGCTGAACTGAACTGCACTCAGCATAAAGCGTGAACAACATCCGGATTTCCAACAATCATGTCAGTCAAGTCAGTGCTTCTATGTGATGGTTGAGAGACATGGCGCGTTACGTAAAGCGTTTCCGACAAACTACAGACGTACATGAACAGCTGCCACCTACGCTCACTCGATACTGAAGATGATCAGGTGGTTAGGATGAATAAGTGGGGAGGAACCCTGGCTGGCTGGCTTGCAACGAATCAACCAAGAACCCATCGCCCAACAAATATGCGGAAGGCAGTGGAGCTGGATTGGATTGGACACAGTGAGAAGACCATTTAGGGACATCACGTGCCAAGCCAGGCAGTCGAGTGGGACACAAACGGAAAGGACGAATTGGGCGTCCGAGGGCGACATTGAGGATATCATATGAGGAAGAAATGAAAGCTGGTGGACAGTCGTGGAGCCAGGTTGAAATGACAGTAGAGAAGAGAGTGAAATGGCGACGTGCTACTGAAGCCCTATGTTCCAAAAAATAAATAATGGAAAAAAATAATTTATATATATATATATATATATATATATATATATATATATATATATACATGTAATTATTAGAATATGGCGGTCCTTCATGAGAGTAGTCAGCGGTCATAGGTCAACATCCTAGATCAGTCCATTTGATATTACTCACAAAACAGCAATATCGTTTACTGGATGATATTAAGAGCACAACCTATCGCTCATAACAATATCCAGAGTCACACTTCCTTAGCTTTTTAGTTTTACTGCTCCGTTTGCCTTTTCTTGTATTGATACAGGAATTCACTATATATCTTGAATGGAGTGTTAAGGTATTCTCATCGCAAGCCTTAGATGCTAACATCAAGAGCAAACGATTCACTGAACAACCATTTTCTCTGCCTAATAATCCTAGTATTAAGAACTGTTATTCTGTCTCTTCCCAATATACAGTCCTCTAATTTCATGCAAAAATCAAGCAACATTGACGTTAAGACTGCAATAGCGAAACACAAAGTACCATCATAATTATGAAACTTCCGACTTTTTTGGGAAAAACCCCCACTTATGTTCGTCAATGAAGGTCAAATGGCATCAGTACACAACTGTAACAGACAGAGAGACCAATGTAAAATATGGAAGAGAAGTGCGTCACTTCATGATGACAAACTTTACAGTAGCATGCAGAAAGATGGATACAAGAACGAAATAATAGTAGAAGTATGTGACAGAAAGGACAACAAATAGATGGTCAGTGAAAATATGCAAAACTTTAAAGATGAATAAAATCACGAGGAGTAATTTTGCTCGAAATAATACCAAAAACTTAATAACATCATTGTGTGTAAACATTTATTAAAAATATATTTCTAATAAATTGATTCTCTCCATAACGCACAATCTTTCATGGATATAATGAATAAGTGTATACAAATGTACGACTGAGACGCACTGAACTGTATTGCCAAGAATCGCTAACCATCGAATTTTGTCGTCTTCAGTACCCAAGCGAGGCATTTCACACCTTGCTATACAGCTCAGTATAACAGTCAATGACTTCATAGACTGGTATCACGTCACAGTCTGGCCTCCCTTAGCACAGTAAAAACCACACGATAGTAATCTCTGACCTAACGGAACTAGGGTTCTATATCACAATGACAATGCTGACTGGAACGCATTTTCCTTCGGAGTCCTGCAATGCCAGAAGGATCTGTTGGATGGTGGTTAGACAATAAGCAGTTCCAGTATAGTGTAAATTGCTACGATATGATGGAGGTTCAAGTGAAGTCGTACTGCTGGCTGGACGCGGACGTGAGGCATTAGTGTTTCCCGAGGATGACCAGAGGTGCGAGGCTAATGCTGCCTTCCTTATAGGAAGCAACAGTTGGGAAAGATCAACACACTCATCACCCAGTGACATGTCGATGCCTGCAACACCAGTTCATAGCCATGTAAGAATATAACCAACCTAAATCTCAAACTTCTAAAACGCCTGTGCGTATGAATGGCTTCACATATTTCTTGAACTCAGCAGTCACGCAGGTACCTCAAGCACAAATAGCCTTCCATGGTGTACGCAGCCGGCAAGTATCAGTCGTCATCACAACTCCCCTACCACCACCGCCACCACTCAAATTCCCCCACATCACTGCTATCTCCCCACATCCTTACCATATAATCTTCCTTTAGGTCTCTCGGTCAACAACCCCACATTACCTTTAATTCCTTCCAGCTGTGCAGCTCTCGACAACCATCTGACTTCACAGAACACGTAGGTTGCACTTTCTTAATCCCAGCCGAACGAAGGGATAACGGCTTTCACATGCAAAAACTGTGTTCAAATAACCACGTGTTTCTGGCCACTACCAACTCCGACATAAAGAGACATTGTCTCACATGGCGTTCACTGACTTTAATTCAGTGGTTGACAGAGATAGATGAAATTGTTATCAGTTATCGCTAAAGATGATGGGTGTGAAACTCCTACTCCTTTTAGAGCATGTCTGAGTAGTAATCAAGCGTTGGTTCGACGACGCCAATGCCTGCATCTGAAAGGATGTAAGAAAACTGTATCAACAAGACGATTGAGAGCACATCTCGATGCTGAGAATACCAAGGCTGGTGACACCGAAGAACTGAATAGACAGTTATCGCAACAGGATAACAGCACTCATTCAGAAGAAACTTGTTGCCATCTACAGTGTGTTGTTAAACAGCGTTGAAGGCTGTAGTCGACTATCACAGAGTGGGAAAATAGACTCAGAGGACATCAGCAGCTTCTGAATTAATGCATGCGCGTGTACGCATTCTTGCAGGCTCCAAGTACGATGAAGAACGGAAGTTATGCAAATATAGAGTAATAAAACGTCTACGTAATGACCACAAACACTGGTTAGTAGCAAAGGTTAATGAGATGGAGTAGGACGCAGCGACGGGTAACAGTAGCCAGCTATTTATACTTTTATTAAAGAAACTGGGGTGGAAATGTCAATAGTTGACGACAATATGGCAAAGAAGTATGGGTCTGTGATTCCACCACAGGAGAGATGACTGAAATAATATGTGGAACACTTAGATGAACAATTCGACTGGCGTACAACCACCATGTTGTTGCTTACCATCCATGGAGCCTCCTTGCAGGAGTCAAGAAAGCTGCAAGTAATCTGAGATAGGGAAGAGCAGCAAAGACAGACGGACTGGCACCGAAATATTTAGGGATCATGACCGCGTATAACTGGTCAGGTCAACTGAAGTGGTGACTAGTGTATGGAAACCAGATATGATCCACTCTGACTGGTCTTAATCACTGGCTGTCCCAGTCTTCATGAAAGCTGAGAATTCATATTGTGATAATCACAGGGGAATCAGCCTAGCGAACACAGTGTGTAAGATTCTAGCTTATATAATCATAAAGGATCAGTGAAGCCAAAGAACAATAAACACGAGAGACACAAACAAAACTCAAACCTGATTGCGAATGTATTGACGCGATTTCGATCCTCGGCAAGGTTCTGGAACACACGCACACTTACGATCTCGATCTGAAGGTGTCATTCGACCACGTCGACAATGGCAAAGTCATATGGTAGTGTCTATCCTTAAAAGGATACCAGATGAGTGAATCATTCTGTTGAAGACTCGTTACTCAAACGTCTGTAGGCAGGTTGGAGTCTATGGTGAGTTGCGTATTTCAAGTGGTGTGAATCAAGGATGCCAACTCTCACCACTTATTCCATCTTATCATAGATGTTCTTATGAAAGTCGCCCCCTCGTCATCGTCTGACTTTACAGGGATTGAAGTTATTACAGGAGATTCCTTAGTAGGTCGGTCCAGGGTATGCAGATGAAATAGTTATGTTAGGTGAAGACGCTGACAAGATGAAGTCCTCTAGACATTTTGAATGACAATTTGACACGGATACGTTTCGCGTCACCTAAATGCAAGTTATTGCTCCACGAAAGGCTCTGATCACGATGGAAAGCGAAAGCAACTGAAACGTCAGTTGATTAAGAGTTTTCCTTATAATCGCGAGCAATTGTGGGAGGCGAAAGGGAGACATGTAGAAGGAATCAGCGTTGGGTAACACCCGAAAACTATTTAAGGTTATCAAGGATACTGGGCGAGAAGATGGTTAGTGAGACCATCATTGAAAAGGATGGGATGCTGCCTCTCAGTGAGTGGTGTTGTTCCCACTGAGACTGGAACCCGGGGCCAGGGCGCTATCCACTAGGCCACCGAAGCACAACAGCCGCTTCTTGTGTGCCGTTTATTAGATAGGACTGATCGGTCTAATGAACGACAGGATAATACATCACATGGAATACTTTAAAGTTAGAAAAAAATATAAATATATCAGTGAATAACATACGAAAAGTCATTAGTGGACGGTTATTTGAGCAGGTATAAATGTCTGTTCCCCCCTATTAAGAGGACTAGGAGTGAGGTGTTACCGCTTTTGAAATCATATGATGAAGCAGTTGTGACGAAAGAGGACCCGGATAAGTCAGAAAGTTTATCCAACTACATTGGATTAAGGGTTTTTGCCGACAATTCTCATACTGCCTCCATAGCTCCCCTAGTGGGACCTATTAAACTTCGAAAGAAACCAGTCCACCAATTGACAAGAAATCTACAGCCTGGAAATCCACCAACCCCAGACAGACTACACCCCTAAAACTCTGCTTTTGGTTGATATCCCTGATACACCTTTAAGTGTGCCAATAAACATATTTTCATCCTAGGTACAGCTTCCTAAGGACTGCAGGGATACCACAATAAGTACCATTAATTACCGAACTGTTAGTTTTATTAGTATCGTGGTTAATATAATGGAGACGTGACAAGATATTAAGGTATTTAGGGGACATGCACAGAAACTAAGCCTGGGACATAGCAGGCTGGATGTCAGGCACAACTTCTGTCCCCTAAGAGTTGTTAAACCCTG